GAAATTTTCTTTTTAATAAATAAATAGACAAAGCTAAATTTAAGAAATAGTCTTGTGTTATCAGCTGCCATCATGTTTTAATAACATTTTCCATCATTTGCATAAAATTGCTTATTTCATTGTTCTCATTTCATGACATAGCAGTGTAAATCAAATTTCTTATTTGAAAATAAATAATTTCTTGTTTTTTGCTTTTGCTAGTGAAGGTGCTTTTGAACTTAGAGTTCTCCATGGTGAATGACTTCAAATGAGAGCTGAGCAATTGACTCTTGCATTTGTCTTCCATCCTTTGAAACATTTCTGGAATGCTTTATTTGGGATTCTGCAGAATTCTGCTAGCAAATTTTCCTTTGTCAAGTCAGTTGACTAAAAATACCAGCCTTTCAAGGCCAGTTTTAATTTGGGGAATAAAAACATCCACTGTTGCTAGATCAGGCAACTAAGGAAGTTGTGGAACAACTGTTGTCTTGTGTTTGGATAAAAACTGATGGATACTAGCAGAGTATGCTGGCAATGTGCAGGCACATTGTCAGCATGGAGCATCTATTGGTTTGACTTTCAGAAATCATTCCAAGTAATAAATTCCAACAAACAGTGTCAACACTGAAAAAATTATCAAGAAAACAATATGGAATTTATTGTTAAGTTTTCCAATACATTTGGATATTAAAATTTTACATTTAACTTGCAGTTTATCAATTCATAGCCCACAATGCCAAAGTGGATAAAATCACTAAACACTGTGATAGTTTATTGTTGCTTTTCATCTTGCCAATGGGCTGTCCAAGTGGAGTTTTCTAGATTTACTTCATGTTTGTAATACCTAAACGGGGGATAGTTTTTCATGGAATGTCTTTTTCAGGAGGCATCCCTCTTGGCAGATCACCTGCAAGCCACATTGACTTATACAAACAACAGAGTTTCAATTCATGCAATAAATATTAGCTATTTTTGAATATAATAATGAAATAATCCAAAAGAGGGTCATTTTTCAAGCAGTTTAAAAATCAGGACTGTCTCACCTAATTCTGGCAAGTCTGGTCACTTTATACAGTAGACCACCCTATAAAATGGGTTAATATAATTCAGATTTGTATATAGCGGCGAAAAAATTGCGACTGTATTTGTATAAACACGCTAAAAGAGACTCCTATATAATGGTAAAACATCATCGCCAACTCATGTCGCGACAGGATTGGTCAAATCTAGACCAATAGCGGATATCGCACAAACCATTGAGTTTAAACGAGAAGCGGACCTACTAAAAACCATTTATTATTTAACATCTATAAAAATTATATTTATATTAATGATGTCTCCAAAGTTTAGCAAATTTTTCACAGTAAAATAATTTATNAATAAATTTTAAATTAGAAGACAATAGAAATAAATCCTCAAATAACATTTTCTAAATGGAATGGATGAAGAAATCAGAATCTATGCATCTTATTGGATGGTCTGATCATTACAATCCATCAAGTCTTTACCATATAAGAGAGCATATTTTTGAATAAGTTAGCTACAAGAGAGCAAAATTTTTTTTATCACATTGCTTCATTTATTTTATTTCTCAAATAATAATAATCTTACTAAAATTTTTTCATCTTAATTTTAAGATTAGTTTATATAGAGAACAAATAACTGGCAAAATATAGGAAGAGAAACAAATACTGCATCAGCAGTGATAGCTTTATTAGTGAATTTTTCTATTTAATAAATTGCAATCACATTTTAATATGTTTAGCTTTTTTACTAGTGAAAAATATTTGACACTAATCAGAGTGACAAATTTCTGGAGATAAGAGTAGGATGTAAACAAAACAGCTATGGAGAAAATACTTTTTTCCAGCTGACATTAAGTTTGAAAGCACTTTAATGAAGTATCCTATACTGAAAAAACGGATTCATATTTATCCAACGAAAGAAGTTAATTGCAAACGTTACCTCTTTTAATATTACTATGGTAACCATAGTAATATTTTTTCAGTATAGAAAATACTTTCTAGTTATATTCCCATAATTATAATTTTTAACACACTAAAAATAAAAAATTTTTAGTTAAAAAACAAGTAAAAATTATACTCTTTCTATTTCCGACTTCGAGGATTCTATGAGCCAAAACAAGACAAACAAATAGCAAGGAACAATCATTATTTTATTAATTTTATCCATATGCATTTCGCCATCTAGGCCTCCTCAGTGGATACATCAGGATGTTATTCGTTGGTTACGTTTTATACCCAACAGCCGTTCCCAGCATGCATCAACAATCATTCCAGCATTCAAATTAAGTAAATTTACATGTTCGGCGATACAGAAATGTTCTACAATTTTTCTTTCTAAGTTATTTTCTATTCTATACAAAATTTTAGTATTTTTTATATTTATATTACAATTAAATTTTCTGCAATGTAAAAACCATGCTGATTCCGTTCTTCTCAGTCTAATGGCTGCCTCATGTTCCTTTACTCTCAACTCCAATCTTCTTCCGGTTTCTCCAATGTAATAATTTGGGCTTCCACATGTACATGACATCCTATATACGACACCGGCGATCTTAAATTGGTCTCTGGGCGAATTTTCACT